TAAATACCCCATACAAACTTAGGAATCCTAGAGATAGAAGAATTAGGGTATATAGGCCGCTGTCACTGGTCCTGAAGGCATCAGACTATATATAGAGCAGTTGCAGATCTGCATTGGTAAAGGGGATTTCTCCAAGAGGAGACATCTATACCAATCACAGCTTAAGACTATGCCCTCTCCAAACTATCATTAGTAGGGTTTTAAGTATGACCACAAAGACATGATCTGCTATTGAAAATTATCTGAAAAACTTGTTTTCATGTTTTCAACAGGAATATTTTTGGACAAGAGAATAGTAGAACAAGGATGAGGAAAGATCAGCCTAGCAATTATTCAAGGAAGAAGCCAAGAGGAAGGAGGATGAGTATTTCCCAGATTGCGCTATTCATTTGGATGGGCCTCCCATAGAATGAGCTCTCTTTGACAATCACTGCAGATGGACGGTGAGCGAGACCCTGAGTTGAATAGGAGGAGAGTGTGCTGGATTGGTTTTGGGAAACTGTGCAGTGCTTTCAATGATTCCAAGCTGCTGTCTGCCACCAAAGTCCATAAAAAAAAAAAACAGTTTTCTCTTTTAACATCAATATCAGCTGCTCATGTGCTACATTATCATAAAAAAATTACTTGATCTCTTCTGTAGGAATAACAATCACACACTGTCTGATACATGATGATAAGCATATGTTTCTTTTAAGCAAAATGATTTACAAAATTATGCATTAAGGACATGTTTCATGAAGAATCGAGAAGGGAACAAGCAGGGTTTGTCAAGATGCTACAGATAGAAGAGTACATGATCACTCAATAGATAACAATCAGAAAGATAATGTTATTTGGCAATGCTCTGAATATAAATTAAGCAAGATGTAAAATAAGTAGACAGAAACTTGCCAAAGATGTTTGTTGATGCAAAGGAATATTGCCCTGTGTTAATTTCAAAAGTCTTCAAATGAATTAAATAGATCTTCTAAGGAGAATTTCTAGTATGGACAAAAATTACAAAGGATAAGAAGATATGGATGAGTTATTTGCAATATTAGAGGGAGTGGTGATATCAACAAGATTGTGAAACCAGTAAAATATCAAAATACCTATTCTAAAACACTAACTATAATATTATTTTTCAACCTTGCAGTAAAAATATTATTTGTTCACATGTCCTATCTACTTGATGACTAATACTAAGTTATTTGGGACCTGGGAATCTATAGCTTAGAGCCAATAACCAATAACTCATATTTCAGAAATCAAATGAGGTGAAGTAGAATGTTGAAATATATACACATCTCACCTCAGATATTGCAAGAAAGAAGATATGTTTTTGTATAAGGCATCCTTTTATAGTATTTTATAGAAATGTCATTATGAACTCTTTTTATACTATCTGCTGGAGATCTTTATCTTAGAATAAAAATGGATATTTTAGAGAAAGCAGAAAAAAATTTGTACTCAGTAAAAAAAAAAAAAAGAAAAAGAAACCCAAGCTTTAGGATTCTGTCCTTCCTTAGTATTCTTAATACCTTTTGTTTTCCTTCTAGCAGGGCTAGATATTCATGGTGGTGCTCAGAATTATCTATGTCTAAGCAGTGCATGGGCAGCAATTGAAGAGAAAATAGAAAACAGTAGAATTAGGGGCTCAATTGTCATGTGCATTAAGAGTCAGATTCCATATCAAAAAGAATATAATGCAAGGATATTCAGCCCATGCAGTACTCATTAAAGATTTCCTGATGATGATGGTAATGATGATGATGATGATGATGATGGTGACTATGGCACTGATGATGAAGAGTAAAAAATTGAAAAAGGCAAGTATATAAAACAGAGACAATATGAAAGAAAAAAGATTCTAGAATAAAAAGAGAAATTGTGTCAATGCACAGGGAAGTTATATTATGATTTTCTTTGATTCCATACCTGATGTAGGAACATTTAGTAGCTTAAAGGGATCATAAAGTTTCTTACATATTTTTTCAGATAACCACCTATAAAAGCATAGTCAAATCACAAAAGAATTTAGGTAACCTCATCATTCCACTCTAAGACAACCCAGTACTAGTAAATTAAGATGACATTTATAAAAAGTTAGGAGCAGAAAAGTCCTTAAAAATATAAACTTATCAACAATTGAAGGTCATTAAAGATCCAAATGCCTTTTAACCATGGGACTTCGGCCAATAGTTTAATGTAGATAAAAGTTTCTCCAGTATGATATGCCCAATTCTTGTTTATTAGTATCTTGTAAAAGTAGAATTTATTTCTCTTTTTAGATAAATCACAAACCATTTAATTAAGTAGAAAATTTCATATGGTAGAACTATTTATTTTGTAAGTAAAGAGAACTGAAAGGACCAATGTAGTTTCTATTCAGCATACTAAAATACATAATATTTCTTTTTTATTAGCTCCATCTGATGGTGGATTTAGTTTTTACACATTGTTTGGCTATAAATTCCTCCACTGTAATGTTGTTAGATTTTTTTTCCTTCTGTTTCTTTCTCCTTCTCTTCCTACATTTCCTGCCCCTGACAATGATATAGATATTCTAATGCAAAAGTCATGGTTGGTGGGAGTAAGGGACATTGATTCGCAATGGGATTAATTCTGAAAATTCTAAAATTTCAAGTATTATTTGTACGCTCAGTGCAACACAGAAGTTTACCTGTAGGTTAGGATGCAGGACTTGCCTTTCTTGCTTTACTCTCAGATAATAACAAATAAGCCTTTCTTTTGGTTTTCTTGTTTTTATTACTAAGTGCTACCAAGAAAAATATGAGTTAAAATATAAAAGAGGAAAGAATTACAAAAATCTTAATGGTTAATCTTAGTCTTCTTGCTGTTCCATGAACAAGACCCCATCTTCCAACTCTGGGCCTTTTCAGTTGCTAGCGGTGATGTCTGGAAATCTCTCCCTCCTCGTCTCCATCTCCTGATGTCCAAATCTCAGTTAAAATCCCACCTTCTACAAGTAGCCTTTCTCAATCCTTAATTTTCATGACTTCTCTCTTGATTATTTCCTATTCATCCTATATAGCTTGTTCTCATGTACTTTTTTGCATGTTGCTTCCCGTATTATAATGTAAGTTCCCCAATGGCAGGGACTGTCTTTTGCCTTTGAATCCCCAAAATTGAGAGCCTGGCACTTATTAGCTGTTTAATAAATGTTTATTAACTGATTGATCTCAAATTCAAAGTACAGTATATGTCAACAGTTATAAGTTTTAATAACTTCAGAGGCTTAAATTTTTTGAAAGTTCATATCAATTTATTTTTATACATAATTTATTTGATGAGTTTTGAATAATAAATTGTTACTTTTAACAGGATGAGTTACTCTGCAATGATTCATTGTGTGTATCACAGTTTCTGGATGATACTTTCTTAGACTAGTGGATTGGTAGAAGATGTCGTCTTGCTTGACAACTACAGTCTATCTATGTCTATTATTATTATTTATCTCTAACTGTTATTTAGTTTGATCTATTTCTATTAGACTTTTTCTGGTGGAGTCACATGCACACTGTCATATATGCATCAACACCTTGTTCTTTGGATAATTTTAAGACTTGGACTGCAAATATAATATTTTTAGTCATTGAGCAATGACTGATGAAAGCTTTCACAACGTTTGAAAATCAACTAGAGTGACATATAGCACAAGTTAATGACTATTTTGAATTTTAATAAGAAAGACAATATTGTTTAAAAATTAAATAATTAAAATTTCAAAATGTTTAGTAAGATTTCTATTGAAGTTTAAAACTGAAATAAGTCTCTGGAAAATTCTGCATAGTGAACTTGATCTGAATCTTACTGGACCCCTTTCATGCCTGATGGAAACATTTCTTTTAGGCCTTGTCATTGTAATTAGCTGGCCTAATTGTGTGGGATAGATAGTGGGTCAACTTCGTGTTTCTAGATAAAATAGATTTAATCAGAGAAGGTTACAAGATGTTTGAGACCCTCTTAGAATTTCCTTTCAAACTTCCTCTAGTAAAGGACACCCAGGTTTAAAAGCAGTTACTTGGTCTGGTCCTTCAGTAAGTCCTCTTCTGGGTTTTACAATGACTAGAGAATTTACTCATAGTCATGAAAGTATCTGGATTTATAGAAACCTTTGTTTACTCTCTGAGCCTCTGAATAAAAAACATAGTTTACTATATCTAGTCTTCAGAGATTCCTTTTATAGAAATTAGGCTTTCCTGTATAGATTTCAAACAATTGTCTTCTATATTCTCACAGAGTGCTCAATGATTCTTGTCCCTAGAATTCATTCTTGATTTGTCTCCTGCCCATCTCTCATTATTAGCATCCTACAAAACCATTATCTGAATGTAATGACTGGGTCTAACTATGATACGAATATTTAGTTTCCTCATTTATCATCCTAGATTAGCATCTTGGTCACTTTCCTTGTGGAGGTATAAAGAACCAAGGTCATGAGTCTAAACTACTAAGATCCCATTTTCAAAGCCTCAGCTTGCCATGCTACTGTGAAGAGAAGTCCTCCCACACTGACTTTCCATTTCCTGTCCAAAACTGTAAGTACAATAGAGATGTCTTGGAAATACTAGACATATTTTGAAACCAGTGAATAATTGATAGAGTTCCTTGGGCTTGATAATTTCTTTACTTATCTCCTTGTAATCAGGTTAAGTCAGATTTGTGGGCCCCTTCCTTAAGGAAGTTTTAGTTGACAGAAGGAAAATACTTAAATATGCCACAAATAATAATGGAACATTAAATACACCAATAAATGAAAGTTCACTTACAACCACAAATAATGATATTGTTTATGAGTGTCCATATTCATAGTTGTATATCTATAAATGCATGCATATGTATATATATGCATACGTGTTATATACATGTCTATACATATATATGTATATGTGTGTGTATTACATCCATGCAGAAATTACAGCTTAAAGCAAATAGTTAAGGCAATTCATTGATTGATTCATATATTTAAAATAATTAAAATTAAGGTCATGACATACCTCAGCATCATATTCCCAGAGCTGATTTCCTCTCATGTGGTGACACTTTAACATGATGACAGGCCCACTGAGTCTAGAAACATCTAAGCAGAAATCATCAGTACGAATTTCCTTTTCAGCAGTGTATGAAAATACCTGTGGAAGTGAAATACAATTAAAAAGGAATTCAGACCTATGAAACAGGTCACACCCAAATCTTCAGATTAGTTAATGATCTCTATTATTTCTAATCTTATAGGGAATAATTTTAAAGGGTTTATACCATTCAAAGACAGAATTTTGCTATGCTGGAACAGGAAAAATTAATTTTATGCCCATGAATCTGGAAAACAAAAATTGGCTGTGACTAACACAAGTGATGGCAGTTTTCCATGGCTATTTCACTATCTTGATTTGACATAGCCTAGTTAAGAAACCAGATCAATACTGACAATGATTTTGGAAGCATCATAGTGATAATTTCAACTGTGCTATAAACTATGAATACAGGGTTATGCTTTTTTTTTTCTCAGGGGGGGTAATGCATTTAAATTATTTGAAAAATTGTGGAGACTATGGTATTCTCCATGAAAATATACTAGATTACTTGACAAAATGCCAAACAATTAATCAGCAAGCAATTATTAGAGCCTACAATATACAAAGCACTGTGCTAGGCACTGGAGATTAACATTCAATGAAAGAAACAGTTGCTACTAGCAAAGAGCTTATATCCTATTGGGATATATTGTTACAATGTCAGTATGCAATCTCAATATTCCAAAAAAGGTTATTAATTATCTTGAATTACTGAAGAAATTTCCCCAATAAGCATTATTTTTTAAATGGAGAGCTTGTTTTAAAAGAAAAATAAGTAAACACTTATCAATTTCATATGACTGGAGAGAAAATTTTTCATTGGTCCTTAAACTGTCAGAGAACTAGCCTTTTCCGGGTTTGTGTGAAGATCTCTTGGAAGAGGATTTACACTTTTAATATGGCAATGTCTATTCTTTTTGTTTCTGGATTGAATCAATAATTTACTTACGACATCCCTCATTAATGTCTCATAAAGAATATGAAAACCATCATTACAGCTGTGTCATTTTCATTAATTTTTATGTGTTTGCCCATTTTTCACTGGCAGCTGTTGCTTTTCAAGGCTGTCTGTTAGCTTGTGGATCACTGCACTAACTGACCTTTCCAGTTTCACTCATTTATAAAATTCTATAATAATTTGCCTTTCTACTATCTGTCTGTCAGTCAGTCTGTCTGTCTATCTGTCTGTCTGTCTGTCTCTGTCTCTGTCTCTCTCTCTCTCTCTCTCTCTCTCTCTCTCTCTTTCTATCCATCCACATAAACAATGCTGGGGCAGTTACTGAGAACTTCTGCAAGAAATTATGTAATAGTAAAGGGGTAACACAGGCCAACCACTAAGCCAGTGATTGAAAATAAATATCAGTGAAATTAATATTGTACATTGAATTTCTCTGGTGAGGTAAGGAATTCCATTTGTTTTGTGCTTAAATTAAAGAGCAAAGCGTGATTTTAACTATAGCTTATTTAAGTAATTAAATTAATTAAACAATTCAACCAACATTTACTATATACAAGCCTCTGTAATTTATGTTAGGAATTGGAAAGAAAAAAAAAGGTAGAGTCATTATCTTCAAGAAGCTTATATTCTAAATATGTACAAAATGCATACTGAGAATTTATGAATATTTTTTATTTCTTTTATTTATTTTCTTTAAAGTACAGAATAAAGAAATAGTCTCATGTTTTAGTCTAGGTGCTATAATTAGCCCAAATAGTTTTCTTCAGGAAATTTAGATTTCCTGATTCTTACTCTCCTCACTTAGAGGCTGCTGATAATATCACTCATATCTCTAAATGGAGATTCTGGTCTAAAAATGTAAAAGTAATAATAAAATAGCTTTGTAAAAGTCAAAGACAAATATAATAATTATCATATACCTTAAAATATAAGGCAGATACTAAAATAGGATCCCATATTAATACTTATAAGTAATTGATCCAAAATAGAGAAATATTAATTCAAGTGAACATTAGTAGTCTTAGAAAATTCAGCACAGAGATATGTAAAGAAATTTGGCCCCATAGGACAATTAATATCTTTTAACTAAAATAAAAAGACTCATGGTATTAAAATTGAATTGATTATAAATATTAAAATATTGGGAAGCTATCAAGTCATATACTGTAATTTTCACATTAGGAAAATAAAATGGGAAATATATTTACAAAGGATCAAAAAGCTACAATCCAGTGATAGGGCTACAAACAAATTGTTTCTCTAACTAAAAATTTTTAAAAGACTATTGATGATGAAGAGCTACCTCCTTGAATCCACATGAGATCTCTCTCATATACACAGGACTTGCCTAAGTACATGAACTCGTTAAGGGTAATCTACTAAGATCTGTCCCTGGTGTACTTTAGTGGTGCCAAGTAAAGACTGGCCCTGAATACCAATTAAGAATTTCCCCAAATTACCCAATATTTGGGCAACCTTTGTGCCCAAATATTTTATTTTTTTAATATAAATTTATTTCTTTTTAATTTTCAACATTCACTTCCACAAGTTTTTGAGTTCCAAATTTTCACCCCATCTCCCTCCTCCCCCCACTCCAAGAAGGCATGCATTCTGAATATCCCTTCCCTAGTCTGTCCTCTCTTCTATCTCTCTCCCCTTCTCTTATCCCCTTCCCCTTCTATTTTCCTGTAGGGCAGGATAGACCCCATTTCCTGTATTTCTTATTTCCCAGTAGCATATGAAAACATTTTTTTAAACATATGTTTTTAACACTTTAGGCATCAAATTTTCTCTCCTCCTCTCTCCCCACCCACCCTCATTGAAAAGGCAAGCAACTCAATATAGGTTGTACATGTGCAGTTATGCAAAACACTTCCATAGTAGACATTGTGAAAAACTAACTCTATTTCCCTTAATCCTATCCTGCCCTCCATTTATTCTATTCTTTCTTTTGACCCTGTCCCTCAGAAGTATTTACTTCTGATTACCCCTTTCCAATCTGTCCTCTCTATCATCCCCTGCTCTCTTGTCCCTTCTCCCCCTATTTTCCTGTAGGGTAAGACAGATTTCCATACCCAATTGAATGTGTATGTTATTCCCTCCTTAAGCCAAATCCTATGAGAATAAGATTCACTCATTCCCTCTCACCTTCCCCTTTCCCCTCCACTGTAAGAGACTTTTCTTTTCTGTTTTTTTTTGTGAGATAATTTACCCCATTCTACTCTCCCTTTCTTCTTCTCTGAGTATAATCCTCTCTCATCCCTTAATTTTATTCTCCAGATATGACCCCTTAATCTTCAACTCACCCTGTGCCCTCTATCTATCTATCTATCTATATATATCTACATACATATATATTTTTTTCCTCCAACTACCCTAATACTGACAAAGGTCTCATGAGTTATAAATATCATCTTTCCATGCAGGAATGTAAACAGTTCAATTTTAATAAGTCTCTTATGATTTCTCTTTCCTGTTTACCTCTTCATGTTCCACTTGAGTCCTGTATTTGAAAGTCAAATTTTCTATTCAGCTCTGGTCTTTTCATCAGGAATGCTTGAAAGTCCTCTATTTCACTGAATGACCATTTTTTCCCCTGAAGGATTATACTCAGTTTTGCTGGGTAGGTGATTCTTGGTTGTAATCCTATCTCCTTTGCCCTCCGGAATATTATATTCCATGCCCTGCGTCCTTTAATGTAGAAGCTGCTAAATCTTGTGTTATCCTGATTGTGTTTCCACAGTACTTGAATGTTTCCTTCTGGCAGCTTGTAATATTTTCTCCTTGACCTGGGAACTCTGGAATTTGGCTATAATATTCCTAGGAGTTTTCCTTTGGGGATCTCTTTCAGGAGGAGATCTGTGGATTCTTTCAATTTCTATTTTGCCCTCTGGTTCTAATATATCAGGGCAGTTTTCCTTGATAATTTCTTGAAAGATGATGTCTAGGCTCTTTTTTTGATCATGGCTTTCAGATAGTCCAATAATTTTTAAATTCTCTCTCCTGGATCTATTTTCCAGGTCAGTTGTTTTTCCAATGAGATATTTCACATTGTTTTCTAATTTTTCATTCTTTTGGATTTGTTCTACTGTCTGATTTCTCATAAAGTCACTATCTTCCAATTGCTCTATTCTAATTTTTAAGGAAGTATTTTCTTCAGTAATCTTTTGGACTTCCTTTTCCATTTGGCCAATTTTTCTTTTTAGGGCATTCTTCTCCTCATTGGCTTTTTGGACCTCTTTTGCCATTTGGGTTAGGCTATTTTTTAAGGTGTTATTTTCTTCAGTATTTTTTTGGATCTCCTTTAGCAAGCTGTTGACTTGTTTTTCATGATTTTCTTGCATCACTCTCATTTCTCTTCCCAGTTTTTCCTCTACTTCTCTTACTTGCTTCTCAAATCCCTTTTGAGCTCTTCCAAGGCCTGGGACTGATTCATATTTTTTTGGAGGCTTTGGATGTAGGAGCTTTGACTTTGTTGTCTTCTTCTGGTTGTATATTTTGATCTTCTTTTTCACCAAAGTAAGATTCTGTGGCCTGACTTTCTTTTGCACTGCTTGCTCATGATCCTGGCCAATTACTTGAGTTTTAAACTCTTTGTTAAGGTAAGAGTCTGCTTCCAATGTGAAGAATGCACTGTCCCAAGCTTCAGGGGTTTGTATAGCTGTTTTCAGAGATACTTGTAGGGAGCTGTAAATTTTCAGTTCTTCCAAGTTGGTATGATAAGGGGCGAGGTGTTTAATCCTTTCCTGGCCTGTGACTACAAGTACTCCTTTCTGTACTGTAACTGTGAGGAGATGTTCTTCACAGCCACTACAAGCTCCACCATGCCATGGTTCCTCCTCACCCCAGCACTGCTGCTCAGAACTGTGACCCAGATCCAAACACAGGCAAAACAAGAGATCCCTGCAATCCCTCTCTGATCAGCCACTGGATTGCCCCTCAGTCTGTGGGCCAGCAACTCAGGAAGCAGCTGCCCCCCCCGGGCCATGCTCTTGGGGAATGAAGCTGAAACCCCACCTTTCTTTCTCAGCAGCGACAAAAACAGACTTTTCTCACTGACCTTCTAAGTTGTATTTGCCATGGGTGGATTGAGGAGTCT